AATTTTAAGGTATTGCCCCTATTTATACAATGAAAAATTCACAGTTTTCTATGGTCAGGCGGTATTTACTCAAAAGTTAATTTAAATTTTAAATAATATAATATGATATAAATATATACTATTATAATAACTAAATATTAGTAATATAATGCAATGTTTTTGACAACATTTATATACTTTAATATACTACCTTAATACTAAAATAAATTTGTTTAACAGCAATATCAAAAACATATGAAATAATATACTTGATAAAAGCTGAGGGACTCTCTGCTCAGAATTGTTTTTCATATACAATGATATTTCATTGAATTAAAATTTACAGTAACTACTCAACACCTACTGTACATAGGTATTCAATTGCCCAAATTTTAAGTAAAATTAATTTATTGTTTCAGGGTACATTAAATTCACAGCATTATTCCGATCCCCAGTTATTAATTATGTTAGCATCATTTGCATTGAGGGCTCAAGTTGCATCATTACATAAAAATAAAAATACTCATTTACCATTAATTGCTTCAGCAGTTCTTGATTCAGACCAAGACACTTGTATTATAGTTGGTATTCCTCCTATTACAGAATCATTGCCTAGAAGGTAATATTTAAAAATTGTATTTTTTTTTAATAAGTATCATTATAGTTCTGAATTACAGCAGTGATAAATGATAAGTGATAACTAATATTATTTGATATCCAATTTTATATTTGTATTTATTGTTACAAAACATTAAAGTAAGTTGTAAACCATGTCAAAATATTAAACGCCTATGTTTGTAATAAGATAGTTGTCCTGGCAATTATTACTTACGATCTCATTAATGATTGTTCCCATATATTTAGTAGTGAAGATTTTACTTACCTATTTACCAAAAAATGTATGTATTTTAATTTTTTAATTAATTGCTAATTTGAAAATAAAAATATTTTAATTAATACATTTAACCATTCCTGAAAAACTAAAAGTGAATGTCATTTATTTATAAATATTTAAAGTTTTAATATTATTTATCACTCATGTAATTTACAATAATTTAAAAGTTGTGTTTATTACAATTATTTTAATTGTTTCAGTTTTTTTGGAAAAGCATTTGAGCAAGTAGCCAATAAAACGAATATTGATATTTCACTAGATTATTTTGATTCATCCATTGCTAAAATGCAGATTAAAGACCGGCCAAAATTTTTCGATGCATTAACAGCATTATTAAGTTGACAGTCTCCATTTATCAAATTCTAACTTAACTATTATTTAAGGAAAGTACTTTATTTAATAATAAATAATATTTGTCATTTGGTTCATTTATTTTGGAATTTTTTAAACAAATTAAGTAATACAATTTTATTAAAGATACAAGAATTATGTATATTATAAAATAACTAATTACAAAAATACTATAATGTTTTTGAATTTGTTTTTAAGCGTCATGTAAGTGTTTAAAAATTTAACATTATTATAATATAATCAGTTAACACTATGTGATAGGTTTTTACTAGTAGTTAGTTCTGTTAATTAATTTTATTTGTTTGAACATTTTTTTTTTTAAATAATCAAAAGCCACATCTTTCATTCTAATGGTTTTTAAAGTATTATTAGTTACACCTCAAATATAATTCAATTTAAATAAAACATACATAATCTCGCTAAAAATACCAGTTTTATTTTAACCTATCATTGATATCTAGTATATTTTTTTCCAAATAACTCTTATTTTAGATTTTTTAGGTTAAGTAAATAAAATATTGGTATTGTTTCCATTAATTACTGAGTTAATTAAGAATATTAAAAATATTTATTAACATTACCATAACTATGAATGTTTTAAAAACTTGCATTGTTCAGCTTAGTGTTGTAATATAATATTCTACCAAAAGCTTACATATCTAATTTAAAAATGCCATGTTTTCCTCTGTATTTTCCATAAATTACTAATATTTAAAATTATTTATGATGTTTATATTAGTATATTCCTTACCAAATAAAAGCCTGCTTTAGATACAAAATAGGAATATGCCGTTTTTTATTCGTACCGATTTTTATTTAATGAGAAGGCCATAGGCCTCGTGTTTAGTAGGTAACATTACTCATTTAGAATGTCTGGGAATTTTAAAGGTATACAACATTTATATCTAAGAAATTAATGATTTATGAAATTAATTTTTATTTTATAGGACCTACGCATTATTACATTTACAGTATTCACAATTTTATTTTATAAACATTTTCTTTTTTTTATTAATTGTATATAAAAATGTTTACTCTGTCAAAAATACTTGTAAGTTTATACCTAGGTTCATCATAAATATATAAATTGATGTTACTGGAAAATAAACAAAAGAAGTTGAGTGTAAATCAACAATAATTTTTTATTTTTTTTTTTTTTTTTATTTTTATTTTTTTCATCTAATTGAATTTTGATAAAATTTGTAAATTTCACAAAAATGTTCTATTTTGAATTTTTTTTTGAACGAGAACATTATTTTGTAGTTGGAAATTCATAACATTTTTTAATATTCATACTTAGAAAGGAGGTAACTCTTCCTAACCTAACTTTAAGGTTTAAAATTCAGTACAAGGTACCTTTCAAGTTTGTTTTATTGAAATTTAAAATTTAGGTTGAGCGTAAAGGCAAATACATTTTTTTTACGAATAATTGAATTTTATATTTCAACGGCATTTATTAGTAAAATAATGATTTATCCTCAAATAATTTATGATATTTTAATCAAGTTTTTAAGATTTTGAATAAAAGATCTTTGAACGATTTTAATAAGGTACATACATCAATATTGATTATAACTTATAAGCAGGGCTGTGAATTTAATACATTTCCATGTTTTTTTTGCCAAAATGATGTCGAGCATTGTATAAGATAATGAATTTGCCCAAAATTTGTCTTGTCTTATTTATAATTAAAAATAAATATAAAATCTTTAGTTATAAATATAAATTATATACATTTTTAGTAAGTTCAGCTAGTAATATTAAATTAAATTATATTATAATAATAATATAATATAGGTATGTGATTTATCTTTTGCAATAATTAGTCCAATCTACAGTACTATTAATTTAAAAATAAACTATTAATACTAACTAACATAAACTAATTACAAAATATCTTTATAACAGTGGTCCCCAACATTTTTGACACTACGGACTACTTGGAGAACTTTTGATAGGTCAAGGACCACCTCAATTAATTAGACCTTATTTTTATTATAAACAAGAATCATTTTATTTCACTCATTTTAGAATTTAATATGAATAAACAAAAAACAATGAAATAGTAGGCTTATAATAATGTTTATAATTGATCAATTTTAAGTAAAAGTTTAAAACTATTAACAATTTAACACAAATAACTATTAAATTAACTATTAAAAAATGTACATTATATTATTATATTTATTATAACGCTGACCATAGGTTGAGAACCACTGCTTTAGAAGAATAGGCTGTCTGACAGTCTCCACACTCAATGATTTTTTTTTCTATATAATGATTTAACCATTGAATTGAATTTAACAGTGATCTACTCAATGGCGAGATACAATTGACTCTAACTGTACAGCTGTAACTACAAATACCTTACTAATCCTGTTTTCTTAAAAACATTATTTTCTACATGAGTTTAAGGGAAATTGGAATACAATTATGTTGTTTAGTTTCCCATGTATTAAATATTAAATTGAATGTATAGATAATATTCATAATTGTATACTTTACATTATGTGGCCACTGGCCCTCAAATGCAACATTACTCATAAGTTGTATTCTCATTATCAGCCAATATTAAACATATTTAATGTTATTAGTTTATCAAATAGGAAAAAAAAAATGACATCCCATTTTTTTCTAAACTTTTTTTTTGTATTTTCTCAAAAACCAAATTATGTTTCACCTATCAATACAACTAATATCATGACTACCTAATAAAATAAAAATTAAATTTTTTTATTTAAATATTTGTGTGGAAATGATACCAAATTATTGGTTAAATGTTTGTTCAATTAAATGTATTGTAATTGGATTATATTATAATCATTTGAAACTTACATAAAGAATTTAATTGGTATATAAAAAAACAAATGAAGTATTTATTGGTAAGAAACCTTTATATTGTGTAACAAACAATAATTTAACCATTGCAGAAGTGTTGACTTATTAGGAAAATAGTAAGAAAACGTAAATATATATATAATTATTATTTTATCAATTAAAACACACAAAAAACATAAGAATGCATATAAGAAAATTCCATTAGGATTAGGGAACATAAATGTTATAAAGTAAACAAAAATTATATAGGTATCTACTTTTGTCAACAATGTTTCAAGGAATGGTTACTTTTATATATTAATATTATTACACCATTATGGGCAGTAATTTTTTTTTATATAAGCTATATAAGTAAGACAAAAAATACGTGCAGGCTGTACAATTATACCATGTGTAAATTAGCAAAATTTAAAAAATATTTACTATCAAAATAATTCTGGCATAAAATTTAATGTAGTTAAACTTAGTTCCTAGGTTCTTAGAAAAAAAATATTTTGTGTTCCCTGTAACATAATGGTACATTTTGAATTAATCAGGTAACACTAAAAGATAAAAATGACTACAATATTAATTATACTTATTATATAGTTATAAAAAATAAAAATGTAATTCCTTCAATTGTATTCAACAAAAATTGAATAAAGGAACAAAACCAGATTATTTTTCATTCAATATTTTTAAACACTAACACTGATTATTTTGAACTTGAATAGATATTATCTTCATGTTTGTTCAATTAATGAAGATCCAGAAAAAGAAAAGAATTAAAATTCAATAATAATAAAATTGTTGATTTCAGTCATATTATTAAGTACAAAAACAAAAAACTTTTAACACCCTTACAGTATATAATGAATCCCATCACCGTAACGGATGTAACCGTTCAAAGTCCCCCATAGTTGAAAATAAATACCGATGTTAATTTAAATAATTTGTACTAGTTTTCTAAGTTCTGAATTTCATCTTGTTTGGTTGGGTTATCCAATATTTTAGTGGCCTCAGGTTTCTCATCATTACTATCTGAAGATAGACTACCAGTGCTATTGTTGTCGACAGTTTCCTTATTGTTATCTTTGGTTTCAGTTTTGGGTAATTCATTTATATCTGTAGAATCTCCTCCGGCATAGTTTTTAGGTTTTTCAGATTCACATTGTTTTGGATTTTCTAGGTGGAGTTTATTGGTAGGGGTTTCTTCTTCGTCAGTATAGTAACTGTGAGGTTCTCCAGGCTTCAATAGACGTCCAACATAATCATATTTTTCTAAACAAAATAAAAATATACATAAATCAAATAGAATATTATAATAAAGAAATACAAAGTAAATAAAAATAGCGATGGTAAAATTCTTTTTAAAAATGAACCACTTTGAGTTCATCAAATTGAAATAAGAGTAAATTATTTATAATATATAATATTGTTATTTATAAGCTATATTTATAAAAGCTATACTTAATATAATATGGATACATAATATGGATATTACCTTAATAGACAAAATTTATGAATAATGAAATATTTGTTGTAATAGTTCACATATTATCAATAATAAAATTGAAAATAGGTTAGTTACTTTCACTAAATAACTGGAAAAACGGAAATTTTTAGTCAAAACTAATTTTTGACAAAATCAATTATGTATTTTTTTGTAACTTAAACATAAAATACTTTAGGTACATCAAATTTTTTTATAAGTGTTTCCTATACAAAATAAAATAGTTGAAATATTTTTATTCTTTTTGAGCTATTTAAGGAAATTTTCAATATTTTTACCTAAAAATGTCAATAAAAATTGTTTTGCTGGTTCAAAAAGCTTGACAATGTAATACAAAATTCCTTTAAATTCGGGCTTTCATGGTTTTTATAGTAATTTTAAATTATTTTAGATACATATATTTAATATTATATAATAAGCACAGTTATTAGTTTTGAAGTGAATACTTCCTAGGCGACAGCTGCAGCAGCCCTTCTTTTAAAGCTGGATTCACTGCTACGTTGTGTGTCATAGTAATTATAAGGTTACAACTAGTAGTTTAAAAGTTGAGCTGTAGTTAATTCTTGGCATACCCGGTTGCAACTTAGTGATTACATGATACCAAAAGAGTAATGTCTAATCACGATACAATTTGATCGACACGACACAGTTGTGAATCTGGCTTATAACTAAAGACCGGATTTATATGTTTTTACATATCGTTACTGGGTCTATGCAGTCTTATGAGAGTAAAAATGTGGACGATTCGTTCAATTCTGAATGCGTAGAAAAATGTTTTTCTTGCATATTTGAGAATATTTCATGGGTTGGAGAATATTTAACCCATTTAGCATATTTTGGAATATTTCGTAAATTGTGAGCAAAAATTTGTATTTATTTTTAATTTTAATATTACGGTACTCGGAAAATTTTTTTTTGAACATTTACAATTTATTTATTTTCTTTTTATCAAAATGATTATTGATTCAATATACGTAGTATACTTTTATCAAATATGCAAATATCAAAATATTGTTTTTGTGTTTTAATATTATACTGTTATATTTATATTATATTCCAACTTCCTACTCTTACTAAAGTGCAATACTATTCCATTAGGTATAATACGCAACTTTTAATACCTAATTAATATCTCACAATAAAAATATAGTTGAAAATAATTTTTAAAAAATAAATGCATATTTTAGCATATTTTTTAGATTTTTGAGAGAATATTTGAAGGTTTTTTAGAGAATACTAGCATCATGTTTTGGGTATTTTAAGAGAATATAAATCCGGCCTTTACTTATAACCAATATGGTTACCAGTCGTAACCATATAGTAACCAAGCCTTCGTATGACACAACGTAGCTGTAAATGCGCTGTCAAATCATCGCGTTATACCCATTTTCTATTACCTAGTTTATACCAAACGATGCGGTTCGTGCAGGTAAAGCAATGTAGGCAGTCCACTGTCATGCTACCGGGTTATTATGAGGGGATTACGGTAATTTGATCCTCCGTACGTCAGAGTAAGGACAACAAATAATAGATCAAACATTTTTTTTAAGTAAATTCTACACCTCTATTTGGTAGGATGAATATTATCATAATATTTATATTATATTATAGAGGAAATTCTATAGCGGAAAACGTTTTGTAGTACAAACTCATTTGAAAGGTTGAAATTTGTAAGCTCTTGGTGCGGTATGTAAATTAACTGTGGTATATACTATATTAATATACTTCAAGACATAATATGTAACAGTTATAATTTTAAATAAAACCAATATAGATACTTTTGATTAATAAACTTAAGTCAAAATCATAATAAAGTAAGTTAAGTTAAGTATTGATCATAATGAAAAACTAAAGAACCCGTAAGACTGCCATTAAAAAGTGGAAAGCGGGAAAAGTAAAAACAAACACAACCACGGTTATTGGAACTGAACAAACAAAACGCTGGATCATGTCATTGGCAAACGTTTACTTAATTTTTGAGCAAACTGAAAGTCCAAATATCTGTTATCAAACATTACCAATGTTTACCACTATAGAATTTTCTCTACATATTCACTTCTGACGTGAGTACTGACACACACAAATTTTTTTTTCATAAACATTTGAGGCACAAATTTTGTAATTAAAAATGTATAAAATATTAAATTTGTATAACTAAGGCTTGAAAATTGAATATTTAAATGTTGTTTTTTTCTATATAAAGACATTGAGTTAAAATTTTGACAAAATTAGATATTGGAACAATAAATAATGATTTTAGTTATTTTGTTGTATTTTAAAAATATTATTCGTGGGTACTTGTACTGGTACTTGAAACCAGTGGCGCACACTTAAAAATAAATAGGGGTAGCATATTGAATAGGTTACATCTATAATGGCTAATAGGCTAATGGCTATAGCCTATAATTATTCAATAGTTTATTTTCAATATTTTTATACATAGTAGAATTTATATAATGTAAATATTTTGGAGCCAAGGGGTTCAATAAACCTGTCTACCAAAAAAAAAGGGGTAGCAGCTGCTACTCTTGAACCCTCCAGTGTGGGCCACTGCTTGAAACTTTTAAAGTATATAATAAAATTGTATACACACAATAACGACATTTATAAGTGTTTTCTAACCTAACTTATTAGTTATTTACTCACTTAATTATCCAATAGTAAATAAATTACTTTAACAGAAATTCCTTTGTAGGAAATTAACAACACAGTTACATTTAAATCATTATATACAAAAGTTTTGAGCACAGTAATAGAAATAGGTACTAGTTAGTTTTGTTTTTATGCAATTTAAAAATATGATTCTATTCTAAACAAAAGATTCAAAGTTAGAAATTGCTAGTGAAACATTATGTTAAGTAATAATAATAAAGTACCACTATCATTGATAGTAAGGAAAAGTATGCATTCAATTCAAAACTAAAAATTAGTAATGTTTTATTACATATTATAATGTAACATAATATAACTATAATATAATCATTAACAAGTATTAGTCAATACTACAGTTAGTATAACCTACTAACGTATAACATACAAATTTGAATCTTTTGAAGTTGAATTTGGATTCTGAGTGAAACGATGAATGTATTGATTTTACAATGATGTGTGTTTTTTTATTTTTTTTGTGTCTGTCATCACGTTTTAGGACAGTAAAAGTGCTTGGACTTTCTTCAACAGTAGCTTTTCTGATAGGAAAGTGAATCTAGTTGGTACTTTGGGGGGTCAAAAGTAAAAATTTCCCAGTAGTTTTCACAAGCGCCGGGAAAAACAACATAAAAATTAAGGAAAAAGCGGGAATTTTTACGCAAAATCGGTTTTCCAAAAAATAGATTTTGGTTTTTGGTGTAACTCTAAAAGAAATGAACATATATACATGAAATTTTCACTGGTTGTTTATATTTGCATTTTATATACACAATAACATTTTCAAAATATTTTGATTTATTTTGAACTGTTAAGGGACATTTCAATTTTCCATTTTTTTTAGTTTTTTTTCTAAAAATATCAATACAATTTTATTTGTTGGTTAAAAAAGCTTGAAAATTTAAAAGAACTCTCCTAGTATATTGTTTAAAAAGCATATGAAAAATATTAAAAATCCTTAGTCATCATTTTTTTTTATAAGCATTTAAAGTTCAAAATATGGAAAAATCACGAAAATTAACAAATTATTTTGAGTTAAGAATTCGTAAAAATGTTTCTTTTTAAATCTTAGATTTGAAAATGTAATACAAGATTACTCATAAGTTTGTCTACCTTTATCAATAAAAAATCTCTACCGGACAGTCAAATTAAATTTTTATGAGCGTTTGAAATTCAAATTTTTACAACATTGGATATTCACTCGATTTCTCATGTAGCGATTTCCTTATTTTGTTGCAATTCAAAAACGAAGAACTGTAGATACATGAAAATTTCACTGAATGTTTAAATTAGCATTTCCTATACACCATACAATTTTGAAAATATTTTGACTCTTTTTGAGCTGTTTACAGACATTTTCAATTTTCAATTTTTTTAGTTTTTTTTTCTATAAATATCAATTAAGTTTTATCTGTTTGGCCAAAAAGTGTAAAAATTTAATAGAAGGCTCCTGATATATTGTTACAATATCAGTTGAAAAATATTAAAAATACATAGGCATAGTTTTTTTTTATAAGCATTTAAAGATCGAATTTTGACAATATTTATCAAAATCTTGGAAATTATCAATCATTGTAATTAATAAATTATAAAATGTTCAGTTTTTATAGCTAAGGATTGCAAATTTAAAACAGAGGTTCTCATAAATAGTTCATACTGTAACCAAAAAATCTAAAAAATATATGAACACAGTTATTTTTTACAGACATTTTAAATTCAAATTTGGACGAAATTACATATTAAAAAACCTAGAATAACTTTTTAGTTATTTTGTTGAGATTGAATGATGTTATTCGTGAGTACTTGAAACTTCTAAAGTGTACTATTCTATGATAGTATCACAGTTTTTGTTGATGTATAAAGCGGTATAAGTACCTAATGGTAATTGTGATATAATTAATTTGGAATTTATTATAGGTCAAATTTTGGTTTAGTACCATAGATATATATATAATATGTCTTATACCTAGACATACATACCGTCTCCGCTCAGAATCGTTTTTCTTATACAATGATATTATATCGTTGAATTCAAATTTAATATCATCCATTATACAGTGACCCACTTGTAACCTACTGTACAGCAGAGCGACACCCACTTGCCCACATTTTTTCTAACAATTCTAAATGATAATTAATTGAAAAGCTGTTTCTTAAAAATGACAGCAAGCATGTTTCAAATAGAGCTCAGAATCATTCTCTTAAATGCATATTATATTATTACGCAATTTATTATTTTCTAGCAAATGAAAAATAATTGGTTTCTTTTGTTTTAAACAGAGCTGTGATATGTATGTATTGAATTTACAATGAAGTTTTTTAAAATGTTTTCTATTTTGATCATTATTTGTTGAAACAGTAAAAATGCTTCATATTTAACTTCGATATTTTTCTTGTGGTTTCGAAGTGAATCTAGTTGGTACTTTGAGGTGTAAAAAGTGAGAAATTCAAAGTATTTTTCTTAATAATTAATAAAATGTATAGGCTCGGTCAAAAAGATTGAAAATTTAGAACAAAATTCCACTAGGAGTTGTTCTTATACCAATTTAAAAATACTAAAAATATATGGTAAGCTACTTTGTATAAGTGTTTGAAGTTATATATAGTTATAAATATTGACTAAATTTGACAAAATCACTAAAGTATTTAAATGTTTTTGTTAAAAAAAATATCAATATTTTCAATATTTATAGTTAAAATTTGAAAATGTGATAAAAGGTTCTTCATAAGTAGATCTTAATGAAACCCAAAAGAGATATCTGTATAATTCTTTTTGTAATTTGAAGTTCAAAATTTGATAAAATTGGATATTTAAACGGTTTAAGTTAATTTATTAAAGTTCAAAAATATTATTTTTGGGACTTGACACTTTCATAATATATTATACATCTTATCATATTTTACTATACACAACAACATTTACAAAATATTTGTAATAATTTTAAGCCATTGCCTATTTTTATCACAAACCTATTTAGTATTTACACTGTTTTATTTTGGCTCAAAAGTTAATAACAATAATAAATAATATTATTATAATAGATAATACCTTATCAATAGTATAATAAATGCAATATTTTTGGCAAATAATAATTTAACCTACCTAATCATTGAATTCAAATTTGATATATCTATTATACCTAATGACCTACTCCATGACGAGGTATACTTGTGCAGCCGAGCGGATACCTACTTGATTGCTTTTTTTATTTTAAATAGTAATACTGTAATTAAATTATTGAAAAAAAAACCATATGATGACATTATACCTTTTATTACCTAACATCATATAGTTTATGATGATCTTAGGAAATAGTTACAATAATAATAATAATCATAAATTAAACCTGATTAATTTGTCAGATAAAAACTTGTGACATGAAATAGTCATTCAATTATAGGTATGGATAGTATGGCTGTATGGGCAATTACGTAAGATGATATGTAAAAATAATATATATATATACATGTTGCTCATAAAAAGCTGTTGCTATACATTATGATATGAATAGTAATAAATGTGTTTAACTGTTGTTAAATTTAATATTTTGAAATTGGAAGTTAATTAATAAATTATATAAAAGGGGGAGCTGAGGTTCAATACATAAATTCAGGATGTTACTGTATTAAGTACATTAATAATTATTGTTTAAGTGGGTCAATTATTTAAAGTAAAACATTTTTTTTTGTTAAGCCAATACATAATTTATCTTACTGCAGGAACTACAAAATAAAATATTTAAAGGTATAATATATTATATCAAATATTATCACAATAATACTGAATAGGAGTTGTCTTAAAATAAAATATAATATACATATATAAAATCATATTTACACTTGTATGAGCTAATTAATTATACTGTGTTTATTATATTATATATGAATTATCATAAAATGAATAAGTTATCAGTATGACCCATGATGACCTATGTTTTTTTATTAAGAAGTTTTTACTTGTGCATTTTCAATATGTCAATAAGAAAAAGTTTTACAGAATAACAAATGGATAAACACAGTGAAAAGAATTATTTCTTATACTTAACATATCTTTGATATCTAATGATGTTAGTTAGTTTTGTTTTTATGAAATTTAAAAATATGATTCTATTTTAGACAAAAGATTCAAAGTTAGAAATTGCTAGTGAAACATTATGTTAAGTAATAATAATAAAGTATCGCTACCATTGATAGAAAGGAAAAGTATGCATTCAATTAAAAATTAGTAATGTATTATTACATATTATATTGTATCTAAACATGACACCTATAATATAATCATTAACAAGTATTAGTCAATACTATAATTTTTACTTAGTTTAATACATTGCATAGTACAATTACACACTTTGAAATCAAAATTATAAGAACAATATTGCAGGTAGGTAACTAATATTATAGTGACCTATTTACTTAGTTGAGTACCTACTTGATATTGAGCTACATATTGATTAGTAATAAAAAAAAGTAGCTAAATGTAGGTACCTGCCTAATACACAATTTATCTAATATAAATCATGATAATTTTGTTTTGACTACAGAATTATGTATAGCAAAGTGAAGAGAGTGTAGGTACTTAGTGTTGTATATTTTTAGATATGATTATTATTATTATTCACCATTTTGATATAATTTATCTAAAATGGTAGCGATTATCAAATGTTATATTTACCCATAAATTGAGTCTCCCATTCCAACATAGACTCAATCTCTAATGAGTTCAAATCACTTAGGTCGTCATATTCATCTTTACCACTGACTGAAAATGTAGCTAAACCACGAGAAGCATCGTGTCCACCAAATGTTGAGTAAACACCACCTGTAAAGTAGAGAAGTATTTTATTGTCTGTCTTAAATTAACTGGATTTAAGAACATGTAGAGTTTGAACAATCATACCGGGTCCATAGAAATGTTTTCCTTTAGTAACGTCAAACACTTTGCCATTGATCGCTACCAAAATGCGTCCGTCACCTTTGGTGCCGTCAAATTCGCGCAGCTCTTGGATGGTGAAATCTCTCTTTTTCATTTTTGGTAGTGTCACATCATCTTCTTCTTCGACTTGAGGCTCGTTGCGTTTCATGAATATTTTCATTAACAGAAACGTAATAATGGCAACTAGACTGCCATTCAACAACACCTTTAGCCAGAAGCTCACGCTGTACACATCGTAAACTCCATCCACGGCATCCGACACTCCATCGCCCACGTTTGATGACATTATTGCGGTAAAACAGAAAAAAACCGCAATCGTATAAAGGATACAAAACTATTCAATTTTCGAGATGCGAAAAAACGGTACACAAAAAGCTGAAAAAAAAAAAAATTAAATCGACGTAATAGCCGCTCTAATTATTATTTCACCAACTATAGGTGGGAAAAAAACGATCAGCCGGCTAACGCAACACGGCGACGAGAATAGTAACAATATTGTGTGAGCAAATAATAATTACGTCGAATGTTTCCCCGACTGGTTTCGTCGTTTCATACGATCAGTGAACGCCGTATCGCGGATCGCCGCCAACGAAAGTCAATAATATTATAATATGCACAATAAGTAGGAATATTTCAATAGTTCAATGAGTGACGACTATTATAATTGCTGAATGCATTTGCTGTTTACTTTCGACGAGATAACACAGCGTTTCGAGCACGGATTATCGTAAATTCTACTTTTTTTTTCCTACAACAACAGCACAACGAAATAAAATGTGATCTTGGAGGTGGAAATTATCGCGTAATAATAATAATAATATTACTAATAGTAATAATAACGATGACGTCATGATTATATTATTTATATTTGTATATATGTATGTAATATATATGTATATAATTGTAATGCCTAAAATTGGGTATTGGTATCATAGTTGTATAATATTATATCTATGATTGGTATATCGTATACGTTCCCGTTTTCCCAATAATTAATATTAAATATAAATATTAAATTATAATACGCAACGTCGACGTAGCGGACACACTTCGGTAACCCCCGACCGCAGGTCCCGGGCAAAGCCCGTAATAATTATAATTATGCGAGTAATTAATAATTCATAATCGGGGAGTAGAGCTCTACACGACTACACGATCGCTTAAATGATGACTAAATTATTTAGATTTTAGTCATGGTCTAACGAATGCAGTGGCGGACCATGTTCGGAAACGGCCTTTTGGCTTTTTTCGAATATTCCGATTTGCCCTTAGATAATAGATTGCATGCATTGTAATTTGTAATAATATAATATTAATATTGCATATCTTATATTATGATCTGAGAATTTTCCATTGTCACCCGGGTGGCTATAGAACATAAAGATAGCATGACATTACTAAATATTAATAATATGCGCCGCTACTATGAGTGGGTGAGTGAGAGAGTGCGGGAAGGCGGTGCAGTGTGCACCGGTGCCGCGGCGGCGTGAACATGAACGATGAGTCTACAACTAAATTATTAATTATTATTATTATTATTATTATAAATACGATGACCTCGACTGACGGACGTCAGAGAGTGACTCACCACTCACGCCTCCAAAACCGGAGTGACGAAACGCCCGAAACGGTGATCAACAGTGGAACTCGACGCCGAATACGTAAAAATACGTTACGTCGCCGCGGTGCAATGTCATCGACGCTACCGCCGCCGCCGTGTCGTCCGGTACAAACGGAGCACACTTGTCGGCGTCTGTTGGCCATTCGCCGTTATCCGTTTCGTTTGAATAATATAATAAACCGTCCCACCACAAGACAGACGTAGGTATCCGAATTCAACTTCCGAGTCCATCTTCTCGTATCGCGTATTTCACCGTCGCCGCCGACTGGAAACTCATTCGCGTTGTCCGCCGGCGACATTTTGACGATGATCACTGACTCGGAAATTCTTCCCGTCGCTGAGGTAAGATCTACATTGCGCGATCTATTGTTCTTGAGCTAGTTAAATCTACTGTAGGTACTGTTACGAACTCATCGATTCCTAGGAATAAGCGCGTTTAGAATAACACACCTATTGCCAAAACAACGATATGTTGTTGTAACATAACGGTTCGAAATCTCGATTAATTACACATCAGGAATCTTAATAAAAGTTATTTATCGAAATGATAATTGACTTTGCTGACCTCAGACGACCTAACCTATGTAAAAGTACCGCTGCTGGGCCCATTTGCGTTGAGATTGAAATAGTGAACAATGTTTGAATCTCAAACAAAGTTCCGTTAAAACCGAGTTAATTGATCCTTACTTTGATCGCTTATATTTTGCTAAAAATTTGGCAGTCGTTGGTGAGTTCTCCTCGCATGCATAAAATAAACCTATAAGTTATTGCTTCATTATTGTTTCATCAACATCTAACTTCTGATTTGTTGATAATTTATATGCTATGGGACTTCTCTTGTGTCTCCTCTTATCTGAACAATTGTTCACAAAAAATTATAATTGTATATAGGGACAACAAATACTTACTAATATCCTCATTTTTCCTAGAAAATAAAAATAATTATCGAGTTTCCTTTACATTTCAATCATGAAGTCAATGAATAGTTTGAAATTAATTTTATTTTTATAAAACGGTTATTCCTAATTTATTAATTGTATTAATTGCTATTGACTTTGTCCCACCCAAACAAGGGCGCCCGCAGGAATTTTAACCGGGGAGCCTAGGGGTATATTATATATATATATATATCCATAATATAGACACATTGAAAAAAAGAACGGAGTTTGATTCAGCTTTTTGAGCAGCAAGGTTCCATATTTTACAGAGAAGTAATTCCTGCGTTGCATAATATACTGATTTTTTTTTAAGGATGACTGATAACAGAGTGTGACGGTTAATCGAGTTTCTACCGTACTTTATATTAATATTTAGATTTAATAATATATTATATTATACAATATACATGTATATTTGATTTATTTGAAATTATAATTTATGATTGATGAATCATAGATGGTTTGAGATTGATTATGGTTTAACTTAAATTACTACAGTAGAACTTCCATATAACGGTCACCGAAGGGACTGTAAATAATGACCGCTATTTAGAGGTGCCTGTCCTACAGAGGTAGGACAACACTAGGATAACACTCGTTGGGACCAAAAAATTTTTGACCGTTACATAGAGGTGACCGTTAACAGAAGTTTTACTGTATTTAAATAACAAACTTATTAGCAATTTCACCATTGAAATTTTTCCATGTTTATTGTCAGTTATTAATTTTTATTTGTTATTACAATAATATATTTAATACATATTATGAGGGTGTTAGATTTATCTCCATGATTTACTTAATTTAGTTTAATATTGTTTATAGAAAACAATGAGTACTGTAGATACATCTGATGCATTGGATTTGACCAAAGAAAATATTAGACCACTAAGACAAGGTAGAAAACCTATTCAGTTAGAAACTGCTTTACAAGCACAATCTAATACGGAAATTCAACAAAAATTAAATAAAGAGAAAGAGTAAGTTTAATAAGAGGAAAATATTTTACTAAAGACTTTTATATTGGTAATATTTATATTGAATTATTATTTATTATCTGCCTACCTACATAATATTTATATTTAAGTATGTTTTTGTTCTATTTCGTTTTAACAGATTCCCAATAATTTATTTTTTAAGTCTTCAAATAATGAAACTACAATTTTATATGCTGTTACATCTTATATCAGTACATAATTATATAGTTGAAACTCAATTAACCTAAGAATTAACTGGAATTACCTATCTCATGCTTTCATTCTAGGTACCTATGTTATAAAATTTTTTTTTAAATTTAAAGTTGATAATACCACAGAAAAAAAACAATACTAATTTGTTATTAATAACTAGGTTATTTATTTAAATTAACTTACTCCATATTTGGACTACCAATTTTTACAACATACTATCAATGTACCTATATTTTCTTTTTCGATATATTTTTATCAGAACTATTAAATAAAGGCGGAGGATCAACATTTAATGTTCATTATCATTTGAGTACCCTTGAAAACCTTATATTAATCTTGAAAACACTTGTCTGAATTCATCTTAACTGTTGAGACAGTGTTTATTTTTAAAAAATAAAAATTAACAATTTTATTATTTGCTTCATAAAATTATATATTAAAAAAATTTTAATACAATATTTTATTATAAATAATTTTTTTCATTAGCAAATATGATCATGCTATTCGTACATATGAAGGCGATGATCCTTTAGCTCCACATTTTGAGTATATAAAGTGGCTGGAACAAGTATATTTAAAACATGGACCGGACAGTAATTTGTTGCCTCTTATTGAAGAAACTGTACAGAAATTCAAAAATGATGAAAAGTACAAACAGGATCCAAGATTTATTACAATTCTAATTAATTTTGTAAATATCCATTTTATTTCATAGAATAAGCTTGTAAAAAAAAAAGTGTATGAACAACATTTGAGGTAATTAAATAATTTGTCAATATTTTAGATCGAAAACCAATCAAACGCTATTGAGCTATATCAAACGGTTTACAACCAAGGTATAGGTACGATGTGTGCTTTGTTTTATCGTGCTTGGGCAGAGTTATTGGATAGATACAATGATTTTAAACGTGTGGATCATATATTTTTGCTGGGAATTAAAGCTAAGGCTGAACCAGTTGAAGAACTTGAACAAGCTCATCTGTAAGCTACATTTATTTAATTTAAATAAAAAATAAATTAAATATTTTTAAATTATTTTTTAGCCAATTCCAATTAAGCGTTGCTAGACGAATGATTAATGGACAGTTAACAAATGATGATGATAAGAACCAAGAACCTGAAAAAAGACACGCATTTAATGTATTAAAAAAGTCTGAAACCCATAGTGGTGTTAGGCATGGTTTTGGTGGAGTTATTGGAAAAGTACCACAAATAAATAATGCCAATGGAAAAAACACTGTTCTTAGGATTTTTGAGGTAAAGTTTTTATAAAAAAAACTTAGAAAAACAAATTTATGATTTTGTATGATTAAATGTAGGATAATGATGAAAACGGATTGCATGGAGTTGCAACTAGCAATTATGATCTTGCTCAAAAAGGAGTAAATAAAGAAAATACAGTAAACCCTGGACCATGGACCAAACCTAAGAAAACTCGCTCGAAAGCTCCTAAACCTGTATCAACTGTTGACTTTGAAGGTCAGTTACATTTACTTATAGATCATATTACTAACTTATAATACTGAATTTGATGAAAATA